CAGCAGGGCTGAGCTTGTTCCAGTCTTTGATCATCGTTCAGCCAGCGGATTAACATATGCACGCTCTCTTCCTCCCTTTGTCGCTGAGCTTCATAGTAAATCTGCGGCCTTCCTTCCGTCTCTCTCCTCCCCGTCTCGCTCTAATATGGGACGAACCATGAATCAATCACGCCGCTTTACGCCTCGTGTCCGACACGGATGCAAATCACAGAAGGATCTGTGGGTAAAGCTCTGCTTATTAAAACCCGATGCCTCTCATTACTACCCGCTCGTGCACATGCATGTCGCCAAGACGAACAGCAGGTAGCCGGCGTGAAATACAGCAACATCGGTGGAGATAAAACACAGACAGACGAGATTAACCGATTTCTGCGATTCATCTCGACGGAGGCCAAAGCTAAGCCTCACCCACTTTGCCAAAAGTAAAAGGGAATCGAAAGCTAATAAAGCTAATTACCGCTTCATTGTAGGAGGTTACAGCCTCGTCTCAACGAGGCTTAAGTCTCAGGGAAAGCGGCGGTGATGAGGCTCGCCTTCGTACCTGCTCTCAAAGTGCACTAATTACAGTTTGGTTTCAGCCTACAACCCCCCTCAGTTAGCTCGCTTAAAGGGACGGGCATCTGGGGCTTAGAACTACACGCAGAAGGACTCTGCAAGTAGGACACTGACTAAATGTGCGTCGGAGAAAGTGTCTATTTCCCAGTAGACAGGTGACTTTTTTTCTTCTTTATTGAAATGCAACCTATGTGGTTCTCTAATGGCCACTGTTGAGACACCACCCCCCCAGCTCTCCTCTCTTATTTATTACAACCTAATTATATCAGCGTGTCAGCTAACGTAAGCAGCTCCTTGCCCTAAATGCCGCCAGGCTCCCGAGTCAGTTCTCCCTGTGTTTTCCAAGGCGTGTACCATTTAACCACGGCTCATTGAGGCACACAGGGTTGTTTAGCCTGCACCCCCCCCACCCCCCACCCCCATCTTCCCCCCAGTCAGTCCATCAAGAATGGAACGCACACGCGATGAATAAAAATACAGTAACATGAGCTGAGGTCTGGCAAGAGGAGGAGGAGTGAGTCTCCGACGGGTTCCCCCCCCCGATCATCATGATCGGTGTGTCGGCCTGGGCAGGCCGGCGAGGGGCCCTATTAAAAAACCCTAGCCCAGCTTGCCGGAAAAGACCTGTCCTCTCACCTCTGAAAACAACAACCCTGCACGCCCCGACAGCGAGACAATCAACCGTGCGCTGCTCAGGGTGAGGCGGCGGTGACCCGGCGTGCCAAGTCGAGGCCGGTTCTACACACTGATGAGTGCTTTCGCAGACTTCAAACGGGGGAGGGTGGTGCAGCAGACCTCCCGACGACCTGCTTGTGCTGCCTTGTCTCCTGCTCTCTGCTTTTATTTGAGGTTGATACGGGCAGACGGATCGGCAAATATCGATCACGGAGTGCTCTGTAAAATTCTCCCTGCAGGATTGAGAGGTGATTACAGGGCCTGGACCCAGCTGATGCAGACTGTGTGTGTGTGTGTGTGTGTGTGTGTGTGTGTGTGTGTGTGTGTGTGTGTGTGTGTGTGTGTGTGTGGGAGTGTTTGCATTTAGGTTTTTCCTATCCTACCTGTCAGACAGGCCAAAGACAGAAACACAATATTCTTTCATTCGAGTGTCTCCAATCATCTGCAGAAGAGAGACATCTTTAGAAAAGAGAAAAAGCCCCCAGACAGACAGGCAGGCACACCGTACAACACAGAAAATAGGTTATAAAGGGCGGGGAATAATGCATGTGAATCTCAACCATCGAAATTCAAATGATTTGGATGCTTCCCCAACCAGCCCTCCTCTCCTTGTCTGCTTTCTGTCGCGGCCTCAGAACTCACCAATAGGATGGGAGGGGAACGGGCTGCAGATTCAGAGGGTTTGCATTAGGAATGGCCCGTTATTAATTAAGCTTGTGGGGAAGAGTTTTTTTGACAGCGGCTCCCGAGACAGCAAGCGGTGTGGATCTTGGCGCTGACCTGGCCCAGCAGGGGTAGGAGCCGTGTCTTTGAGGTGGTGGCGGGGTGGAGTGGGGGATGACTGGGTAGAATGGGTGGCGGGCGGGCGGGCGGGAGAGAGGGAGGGAGGGGAGGAGGGTGGAGGAAAGGGGGGCTGGCTCCATGCCGACAGCCAGGCATGCCATGTCTGCGTGCCCGCTTTGAAGTGTCACCTTGAGGGAAGAGCCGATGGCCGGGAAGCCGGGAGGGCGGGGGCCACGGAGAGGAGTGTCATGGATGCCGTTGCCAGACATGGCGCTTAAATATTGCATGGGCTCCCGTCCATCTCTTTACACACTCAGGACATTCCTTCTGCTTGATTTAGTTTGAAAGTAGATCTTTGTTTATCGGGTGGGGGAGGGGGGGGGGGTTCTTTCCCCTCCTCTCTCGCCGTGCTGCGGCTCGACACCTGTGCCTTGATTTGTACTCATTCTTGCCTGAACAAATGTCACCCTCTGCAGTCTGAGGAACTTTGACTCCCTGCTTATCAAAGTCGACAGTGTTGCATTTTGGCCCCGTTGAGTGATGCGAGGTTGATGCATACGGCTTCCTTTATATCACATTAAGTAATGATGGAGCTAAATCAGGTCTCTTTTCTTATCCGGTCCGTTCTATGTAAAATTGACGGAATTTAAAGACAGAAACCTCATATGCGGACCATCTATATGTTGAAACATAATAAAAAGCCCTCTGTCGTGTTAGAAACTGTAAAACCCAAATGGCATCCGGACTAATTTAAGTACAAAAATACTTTGCACTCGTTGCACTTTGAGTTTCACCTGCATCAACTTTTCCCCTCTACCTTCATGCATGTTGCAACACGAGAGAATAAACCGGATTGCTTCACGCCACTTCAAGAATATCCCACGATAAAGTTATTGACGGAGATGAATTGATTAGAAGCTTTTAAAGATTATATTTTGCCTCAGAATAAAAGTGCAGAGATTGGTAAATTGATAATGATGTGTTGGCAGACTTTCTATAAAAAAAAAAAGGAGATATTCACTCTGGTGTTGCTAATTGCTAATGCTGCTTTCATCGCTTTATAGAAAATCGAAACGTACCACATGAGACTCCACTTAAACTTTTAATATTTTTTCGCACCATGTTTGCCTGACCTGCTGCCAGCACCATTGCAGAGCGAGAATCAGACACGGCGTAAGTTTGAGGAGATGCGAGAGAGAGAGAGAGAGCTGATCAACGGAGGATGCAGGAAGGAGGTGTTTTGAAGTGAGGAAAAACGTATAAAAATAAATAAAAGAAAGAAAAACACTCACACTTTCTACCCACTTTAACAACCGTCCCAGTTCACAAATAGCAGCTTTAACTCCCCTGATTAGCGCAGACATCTGCAGCCTTTCATCTCTTCCTCCATCTTGTTTTTTTAATCAGATTAACCCAAACGGGCATCCTTTAATGGCCTCTTTTTTTTTTTTAGGAAAGCTGAAAGACGAGAGATAATTAAAATAATTAAACCGCAGGGACCTGCCTGTGCGTGCTCATCTCCCGCTCTTTTCTTTTCTTCTTGCCTTTAAGTTTCGATTCTGCCTTGCTTGGTGATTCAAGCAACACACGGAGAGAACGACTCATCATCCTCACTTAATTGCATTAAGTTGGCTCTCGGAGGTCCAATTTTTCCCTCTGAAACCAACAGCCAATGTAGGATGTGATCTTTAGGTGCATGTCAGCGATCTAAATGTGGAATAGAGGAGGGGGAGGACACGTTTCTAAACAGCCTTTATGGAGCATATTTATTTAGGCAGCGAGTGTATTTTGCATAAGGCCGAAGAGGAAAGAAAGCGGAGAAAAAAACGGAGGAAAAGTATCCTCTTTAATGATTATTTATTCATGGACTTTTAAGCTTTTAATGAGGACAAATGAAGCCGTTTTTCAGAGTGTCAGTATGTAGTATGCTTACCAAAAATATTCTTGTTTAGCATTTTCTTTTGCACTGCATGCCCGTGAGGAATAAACACTAACATTTAAATATAACTACGAGTTTGGAGCTAGACTTTTTAATTGATCAGTTTATCTTGATTTCGCATGAATATAAAATTCACCACAGGTTTTGATCAGACTCTGGGCCGGTCAAGATGATTTATTCATTTTCAGTAATGCGTGTAATTGAAGCTTTAAGTGAAAATATGTAATTAATGACCAGTGTATTTTTGAAAAAGGGAGCAGAGTCTGGATCCTTTTCAACATCAAATGGTTCAAACTTCTTTCAAACTAAAACATACACTGCAACTTTATTAATGACCTCCCGAACTAGACAAATGTTTGCTCCTTTAAATCAATTATTCACAGCTGCGTAATTTATTTTCATTCATATGAACACATGTGTTGTACGATTGTACCTTCTAACGTCTACACTTCTTTGAACCAGAGTAAAAAAAGAAAGTAGGCTATACAGCAGAGTCTGAGTTATATTTTGCGCTATAGGTGTACATATTATGAATATTATAATTACAAGACTTCAGATGAATTCAAACTTTACTTCCTGTCAAAAAGAAACTAATGAATTCTTGCATGAGGATTTTACCAAAAGCAAGAGCCCCGACATCATCCTCGGAGTCCCAACTTTACACAAGCTTGCATGTCCCCCCCCCCCCCACACTCATACACCCTCACTTCATTCAGATCATTTTCACAGGGCTTCATTTCAAGTTGGCACAAAAAAAGGGGAAGGATCCCTTTGCTGGAAATACTTAAGATTTATGTTTAAATTTTCATGGAATCTTTGAGAACATTGAGGAGCAATTTCACATTTGCACTGACATCTAATTTCTCAAGTAGAGTCTGAAAGCACAAATTGCCAACGATTCCCTATGTGCCCAATTATCCTGCATCAATTTCCTTGACCCTGCGGAATGCTGGTAAATTAATCATACCCGGGTTTTTTTGGACTCTCTCTCGTGAAATACATATGCACACGTTTGATAAACTAATCATACTTGGTCGGTTGTACTCACAGAAAATGATTCCGTCCTGGAAGCAGGACCGGAGTTCACATCAAGGCCCGGGGAATTGGTAGCTGATAAAACACACAGACAGACAGACAGACACACACGGAAAATACAAACACAGAGAGGCAGCATGCGTTAGTGAAAGTTTTCCCATTCCAAGCTCTTTGTACTACTAAACACATAGTTGTGTGTATGCATATTATATATATATACATACACACACACACAATTATTAATTATAGAAAAACTCATGATAAATCATGAACTAATAAAACTGATGTGTAAATCAGGGTAAATTTCCTTTTACTGTAAATTCCCGCATCAGTTTTGCTGGTTAAATTGTTTTTCTCCTGTCTTTCCGGGGGTGGGGGTGGGGGGGGGGGGGGGTATTTAACGGTTGTCATAGTATTTCCTAAACAGTAGAAGCTGAATATAAACTAAACACATATCAGGGTGCCCATATATCACCGGTTGTGCCGTCTTAAGCATCTGGGACTTGCTGCACCTGTTGATCGCGTCGAGGCCGAGAGGCGTTTCTGGAGCAACAGTGTCCTCTGGTGGAAACGACACAACGGAGGGATACAAGTCAAAAACACAGGCTTTCTAGAAAGGCCAAACAAACCTTGAATTTGAAAGACAAGACGCTTCAAGGACAACTTTCTTTTAAAAATGTAAAGGCTAGCTTAAGTTTGGCTAACGTTAATTAACGGTAAACCGAAATGTATCCGAACTTTACGCTTCGGTAAATAAATGCATCTATCATATTTCCTATGAGTTAGTAGAAAACACGTAATAGATTTTAAATATGAGGCGCGTGTCAGCTGACTCAGCTGTGCGCGAGAAACTAACCGTTAATGACAGAGTGTGACGCAGCTGGTTGGCTTCTCTAATGGGGCCAGTTTAGCTAGCCGCAGTTAACGCTAAACTGATGTCAAGCTAAGCTAAGCTAAGCTAGTGGGTTCTTAAAGGTGTAATGTTTTCACATTAACTATTCCTTCGAGAAATGCGTCCGTTTTTCAGAAACTGTTTTTAGTATTTAAATATACATTACACTGTATTGTTGACAGATTTTGAAGTATCTTACAAGTGTATTTATTTAAATTAAATGCTTTGTAAAACTTATTTTTTAATGAGGGGTCTCTGGACGTAATTTCCTAGAAACATGCTAGTCATATTCTTATATTTAAAAAAAAAAATCCACTTGGCCACCCCAGTAACAGCGCATCTACGCACGAGTATTACCATTTGCTGTAGCAGTTGTCATTAACAGCCGTTGTGAATTTAAATTCTGTAAAACTTTGAAAATCGTTTGCCTGCATGACGTCAGAGTGTTAATATATCATAATAGGTACACCTTTGATACCGCTTCTCCATTGAAAAGGAACCGGCCTACCTGTGCAATAGATCCTCTCTGAAGCCAGCTGACCTGTACCCATGCAAGTGAACAAACATCTGCTAAATGTCTTCAGAAATTGGGAAACCTCTAATCAAAAAAAAAAAAAAAAAATCAAAGAATCTGGCCAAGCATTCCAAAAACATAATTAGAAAAAAATCTAAATACGACCAACCAGTTTCCCCAGGCCAAAAACCGAAGATATTCAGTATCACATGTGTTATGTGATGAAGCAAATCCTCACATTTAAGAAAATGGGAAAGATGGAGATTTAAATGACTAAAGCAATTAATCCCTTTTCAGTTAACTGACTTTTTCAGCTCCTGGGCTCATTGCCTTGCTTTTGGGCATTTCTGTTAATTCATCATGAATGAAATTAGACAATCGTTCACATTCTCTTTTCCTTGAATTCATATCCAACTGTAAAATCAACCACAGTTTAGGAAGATGGACTGGCTTTTCAATCCACAAGCTCAAACTTCACTGTACGGGCGTCTTACAAATCAGCAGCAGAATAAAAGCAAAACTCAGAATTGTAGTGCAAAACATTGAAGACGATCTTTATTGTTCACAGTTAAACACAAGCCACTGCTTTAAGAACTTCCTTTTTTGACATTTGATCCCAGATTCTCCAGCTTCGGTCAGAGTCCTGGTTCCTTCAGTTTGTGCTGATTGTACCTTGTCTTGGTTTGCGGTAGTTACTGCGGTTGGCGTTTAAAGTGGATTGTTGAACATGCTTTAGATAGCGAGGCAAGAGGAAGTGACAGCAGGAGTCCCCAGTGGACAACAGGATTTAAGCGGCTTTCAGTGCCGCAGTTTACTTCCAAAACGCCGTTTGTCAGACCTGCACGAAGGAACCTGATTGGACAAGATTTTTTCTTCCCCGCGCTGTACCAGCCGAGTGTACACGCAGAACGAGAAACAACACCTCTGTTCAGAGGTATTTAAAGTCAGCCAGAACACCATCCTCCCCGCAGACCTCTTTTGGACAAAAAAAAAAAGAATAAATAAATAGATAGATCAAATGAGAAATCAAAAACAAACCAAACACCTCCACATATCCATCCCCTCAGACGCTCCGATGCAACAGTCAACATGAAATCTCGCCCATCAAAAACATATGTAAGTCTTCTCCGAACAGGTGAGAAATTAAAACCAGTGCTCTTCTGGTGCTTGTAAACAAATTGGTGTGACAAATTGGTGTGAAGGGTGGGTGCACCAAATCTAAGACAATTCCTCACCTAGTTTCACTGGTACGGCCTGAAGTTTCATTTATCAAATCTGTCAGATTCCCATCTCCACGACGAAGACACCATTTCAGAAAGATTTTTTAGGGGATCTTTAAATTCTTTGAGCACAGGAAAAATTAACTTCCATTCCCTTCCAGCTGTGCAAGCAGAAATCTAAAAAGGGACCAATTTCTCACAATTTGGACATATTTAAGCGACATTATCCGCATTGGCTGATACAACTGGAGCCAAGTGGGATGTTTTTTGAACGATGTTTGGATGAACGGACTATTAAAAAAAACTTTGGGCTCACAGTATCACATGTAAGTTATCCATCACTTTGAGATGTGCGCTTCTCGGTCTCATAATCAAATTCATAAGACTAGCATCTTCACTGGTATCACTGCATCCCCTTTGTGTCCCTGTCACCTTCCAAAATTCTCAAAATTCAAATAGGGGAATGACTCAGAATGAAAAAAAGAAAAAGTAGAAAAATATTGTGGGAAATCCTGTTGTCCACTCAGACGAATGGAACAAATAACACTGAAATCCAAAGAGCTGCTGTCATGTTACTCTTTTTGTGGATTTGTAGCTCTTCTCGGTCGTTAAACTTGTCTCTGCACCTCAGTCCGATGTCTAACTGTGCTCCTGATGTGTTTCGTTGTAGTCCATAATTTTAAGCCGCTGACGGGGTCCCCCTGAACCCGTCTGGCCCCGCCCACCCCCTGACCCAGCCTTCCGGCGGGGGCTTTCCTGGCTAGGGGCCCGCTGATCCGTCTCGGCGGGGGGCTCCTTGGTGGGCACTGTGAGAGGAGCGGCAGGGACCGGGACGGGAGGGGTTGCCGGGCCGACGTAACCTGGAGTAGGGGGCTCAACGCACAACCCCGTCTTGAGGCCGTGGGCGAGGCCAGCCAGGAGAGCCGGGGGGAGCTGCTGCTGCTTCTGCTCCTCCTCCTCCTCGTCATCACACTGGCTCTCGCTCTTGTTGCGGAACAGCTGGCGGGCCCTCATGCCCAGGAAGCTCTTGGTGCTGGGGTAGGAGCCCACGGTGAGCGGCGCATCCGAGGGGGGCAGGGGCACGAGCGGGTTGGCGTACGGACACAGCAGGGAGGGTTCCACCAGCAGGGGCGGGACCAAGTCCTGGCTGCCGTTGAGGGAGGTGCCTGTGGTCCTGGAAGAGTTGCTCGCCTTTGGTTGCTGCGGCGATAAAGTGCTGGTGCTGCTGCCCCGAGGGGAATTGCGCAATGATCTGCTGTCCACTTCTTCGTTGCTGTGATGCTGGCCGTCGGGTGCCACGACACTGTGGAGGACAAGGAAAACGGTTTAGAACAGAAAAATCTATCGATAGACTAGATGATGAAAAGTATTTACGGCTATTGAGAGAAATTACATTCATTCACTAATTAACTGACAAAGCTTTTGGGTTTCACTTAGACAACCGAGCCTGGAATGAGTTGCACTGTTCCTTGTGATAAAAAATGCAGTATCTAGATATATAGAGGTACATCTGCAGGGTCATCAAAATTTAAAATAAGCAAGGAATAACTCTTTCACGTTAAACAGGCTACCATTTCTGTGTAATGCAAATTTCACAGTTGCCAAATGAAAATGAACGTGGCAGAAACTGACCTGGTTTCAGCACAGGGGTATGAGTCAGCTCTGCCCCCTGGTGGCGAACCGCTGGCGGTGCCAGCCGGAGCCTCAGTCTCCACTCTGCTGTAGAGCTGCAGCAGTTCAGTCTGCAGCAGCTGAGTGATTCTCCTCTGAGCTTGATACCTGCCGTCTGAGGACTGCAGCTCCGCCCTGCAAAGACAAGATGAAGTGCTGGAGCGAGAGAAGACGACGAAGTGGCCTTGACGGGTCACGAGGTCGGCACTCACTTAGCTTGACACTTCACGTCCTCGAGGAACTTCTTCTGCTCGGCGATGAGGTGCTCCTTCTTGGTCTGGTGTGTCTCCAGCTCGCAGACTCTCTGCTGCGCTGCCTCCAGCTTCTGACCCTGAAACAGCAGACTCTGCCTCAGCGTCTCCACTTCTTTCCCGTAAGACGCCTTCAGCATCAGGGCCTCCTGCGTGGTGGGGTCGTCGTCCACACAGGCACAAAGAGCAACAAGAAATGAATGGGAGGGCAAAGAACACGCAGCTTGTCCTTTTCATGGTGGCTCTGTGAGGAGCCTTCAGATTGTATCCCTATTTTTCAATGGAATAAATGCTCATTTCTGCCATTACGACCTATGGATTAGATTTGACTTTGAGGATACAAACAAAGTAACACAGGCTGGTCATTCATCAGTTAGGCCGTGGATATGAAAATTGGGTGTCAATTGAGAATTATAGGAGAGCACAAGGGGACTGTAGTTTACGATGTGCAAATTGTAAAAAGGTGTAAAAAAATATGAAAGTTGTGCAGCGTGGCAGGAGTCTGATCTATATAACTAAAAAATAAATTTAAAAAAGGATTGGACCAAGCTGTCTCAAACATAGACAAGACAGCTTGACATATAGACATCTATCTTGACATATATAGTTCTGCTACTCTAATGTTAGTAGTTCATTACCTAAGATGCTCTCCAGATCCCAAAACTGGATGAGTGATGGAAGATATAATTTAATATTTATTTTCTACTAAACATAATCTTTGGATTATTGACCTTTCATCTGTGTGTTAACTGTAGATTGTAAAAAGGTTAGAAAAAGTTTGAACAGAGCTCAACTTGACAGGCTTTGTTGAGGATAAAACACTTTCGGGGAGGGAATTTATGAGCAGGATGTATTTTACGATTGAACTTGGCACCCAATCGGATTCCCTTTTCCCCCTCAGAAGGTCTCCGACAGGCCGGCACACACAGACAGACAGGCGCACACTTGCTCCCAGCGTACCTTGGTAGTGTCGGTGGCTGCGTGCGGTAGCCCCTGCATGGACAGCTTATGAGACTCCCCGAGGAGCAGCAGCTGCTTGTTTAGGAAGCTCATCTGCTGCTGGGTGCTCTCACTGTTGCTCAGCTGAAGGACACACGAGACAAACAATGACGCCGGAGGGCAAATCAGCAATTAGGCAACAAACCACACCTGTCCAGGAATATGTGGGAACGCATCGACAGCGAGCGAGAGGCCATTCGGATGTGATCTCTCACAGGAAACCCGGCGAATCTTCCACGAGCTGCACCTAAGGATCCGTCTAAACATTACAGGGCTCTCAGGGGCTTCTTCATCACTTTACTGACATGGAAATGATGTAAGGATATGAATCCCCCCGTACGGTCTGAGTGCATTTATTGATCCAGCAGCCTGTTCCCTGAATCACCTGCTCAGTTTGTCAG